TATAATAATTGTGAGGGATAATACTTCTCTTAACCATATGTTGATTTTCACTATCAGCAATTTCGAAGTTTTGTAGATTTCATTTCCTAGTAAATTAGAAATGCACTAGGTTAGATTTTTTCAAAAAATTTCCAATTTCAAAATGGTATTGAGAATCTGGAAAGATCCTAATTGAACAATTGGTTGATGTAATTACGATTATCATTCACTTTTTTGCAAGAAGCAGTCACGCTTTTGAAGTATGTGCATGTCTAATAAATAAGATCTCTACGAATTTGTCCATGGTATGAAATCTAAATCATCTTATAATTGCTGCATAAGGCTATGAATCTTCTAAATAGTTCGTACTTTGTAAGATAGTTGACATAATAATTATATTTGTAGTTAGTTAGGGTAATAGCGTGCAGAACGCTTTTGCACTCAGTTGTTGTATTTTCTTAGGGGCATCTGATTTTATAAAGTTTTGACTTTGTCAAAAGTTGAGCCTGCTATGAATTATCATTTCTCAATTGACAGATCCAGTCAAAGGAGAACTCAACCAGAACATTTCAACTACGCTCGCACTTTGGCTATCTACAAAAGTGGGGCTAAAGTGAGTTTGAATGGCTGGTAAGAGGGTGGGATTTGAACGTGCTAAGGGAGACCTACGGACAGAAATTGAATGCCCTGCTTATGAAGTATTTAATTCACAATAAAAGAGCATTTATCCTATTCGGGAAACCAGCTCAGCTTTTCTTCAATCTATTGGGGGAGACATCCACACCTTCTTAAGCTATGCTACTATTTGTAAACTATACATCTTCACCATCAAATATTTCCCTGCTCTGTAGCGTTATAGTGTACTTGTCGCCGACAGAATTTGCGAGAAAATTCGACACATGGAATAATTCGATGACATTCCCCGACGATTGCCATCGAATGGGATGCGAAAGCAGCACAACGCCAGCCTCATCGCGAATCAGCACCACACTTTTGCCCTTTCTGAAAGTTTAGCGGTTCGCAAAGTGCATTGCAAAAAGAGGAATCAACGAAACACGTACGCTGACACGATGCTCGTTCGGTG